GAAAAGCATTTCAATCTAATCAATTAGAGAATGAATTTATTTTAATTACAATCTGAAATAATTAATTTATTATTAGACTTATATATATGTGTGTGTGTGAGTGCATTTGTGTGTGTGTGTGTGTGTGTATGAACGTATGTGCATATATATTTGAGAGATTCTTTCACACATAATTACATTTTTCATACACATAAAATTTTATTTATTTATTTCAACATCAATTTTAAACCGCTTGCATTCTATATATGTATTTGTGTGTGTGCATAGCATATATTTTAATATATATATATATATATATATATATATATATATATATATATGTGTGTGTGAATATTGTTGTACTACATATATATATATATATATATATATATATGCATATAAATATACCTACACGTACATGTAGAAACTTTTTAATTCATAATTATATATTGTTACTAATAACACACTCAATCAGTTTATATCTACCTGTCTATTTATTTGTCTGTATGTATATATATATTTATCTAGCTATCTCAAAGTGTTGTGCATGTCCTTATATCTGTTTGCTCGCTAATAATTGTATTTCGCATTTAATAAACATATGCCTGATTTGAAAGCATGAAGCACATGAATCTGGTGCTACTGTTCTGTTTATTTAATTGCATTGAATTCTTTTATTCATATCAAATGAAAACATTCTTACATCGGCCATAGGTATTACGCTGTAAATTGTAAGAAACATTATAATTTAGACATTCAAATATACTTAAACCTGATGCCACTCATGTGTGTTAAACAGTGACCCTACTGTACTTGATGGTATACATGATGATATACGCACCTTTTCCGTCAGTTTTGGCGAAGAAATATCTTAGATAATAATATAATATATTATAATAAGATGTATAATATATAAGATGTATAATATAAGTTGAATAGTATATAAGATGCATAATAAGATATTATAATAAGATATAACGAGACGTAGTTTAGGAGTTGGAAAAAATATCTTCCAGCTTCTAATCTGACATTTTAGCAACTTTCTATTGATGTCTGGAAAGCTAAAGCAGGGATTCCTGAAAATATTTGCATTATTAATAATGGGCACGATATGCCATAAATATATATATATATAGATTATAAAAAGTTGCATGTCACTTTTGCGATGCTGTAACGCTGAAAACACTGGTACCCGTTTGATTACCGGATTTAAGAAGTGCCGAGCCCAGTCAGTACGTAGGTGTGGGACCGTTTGGTAACACTGATTACTGTCAGCAAACTCCAACAATCCGACGTATACTTCTGCTTCAAAAAACCACAAAAGATTGATATTTGTAAAAAAAACAAAACAAAAATACTAATCAACCAAAAATTTCATGATGTACGCACAAATTAACTATTTTGCGCAAATTCCAGAAAGCATTATTTTGGATTTTAAAATTATGACAGGACGAGTGCAATTTTTACGAAGACAGATGATTAACAAAAACCAGTGTTATTGTTATGAAGAAAATTATGAAAGGGATCTAATGTGAAGTGTATGCTTGAAATAATTAATCTAGTTTCAGAAATTTTTCATCGATTGATTTTGTGAGTTGCTGTATTTATTAATACGAAACAGCATCCAGAAGAACATTTCAGAGTTAATCTTTCCCCGTAAATTACCGCTCCTTAGTGTAAAATCCCTCTTCAGAATGTTCCACACGCTTAGGTTTAAGGATGGGCAAAAAAATCCGGCATCTTCATCAAGCGAGTGTCTTTAAAAGACATTTTATTCAGGCATTCATTAGTTTCCTTTGCCAAATATCATGGTGACACTTAGTGCATAAAATCATCATCTTTCTGAAGGCGTTTTGATTCTTCTTGAAGTATGGCTCCAAGTGTGCCTTCAAAAATCAATCTAAATCTAAGCCGTCATCTTGATACTTGCCTTCTTGGAACTTGCCTTTGGTTTATCGCTTCCCCACCTAAATTCAACTCCCAAATAGTTCACCATTTTCGCCTTGTGACGTTTCAATATGAAGAAGGGTTTTGACGTTAAACACCCAATATTTGATATCTGTCTAGATTTCTGAGATGAGGTATTATGTACACTATTTACATTATTCGAACTATTGTCCTTATTTTTGTCGCCATATTTATCACAAGGTTTCAGTCGTTGTACGCTCCGGCCTTCTTCAGGTGGTTGGAATGACGAACCCTTTAATTCACTCCCTGGTGTAGACTGTTCTAGTTCCACGTGCCATGTTTAATGGATGTCATTTATCTCCTGTTAATTTCTTTCTCCAAGTTCTCCACCGCTTTAACCGGGTATTGAACTCAAACTCTTTGGTTCCTGTCACTGTCAAAGGCACGTGACACAGTGGATAAAGGCGTTGGTTAGATCAAGTGACAGGACCCAAAGAGTGTGAGTTCAATACCCGGTTAAGGCAGTGGAGAACTTGGAGAGGGGAATCAACAGCAGTTAACTGATAACTGACATCCATTAAAGCATGGCACGTGGAACTAGAACAGTCTATCCCAGCGAGCGAAATAAAGGAAGGGGGACAGGGGCAAAGTAGCAAGACTGGATGGGATAGTAACAGAGAGGCTATCAAAAGTAGACGATTTGGCCATCGACAGTAATAATTTACCGAAATAATAAATAAAATAGAGACGTATAGGAAGGCTTTAGTAGACCCAGCATTGTGGCGTTCCTTAAGAAGCTATGCGAGCTCAATCAAACAATCTATATAATAGGTTGCATAACTAAGATTATCATCGAGATTCTGATGAACACATCACGTAGTTGATTTAGACGGTCAAATAGGTGTTTTCATTAAAGATTATGGAACAAGAAATGTAATATTTATGATCATAATGATATCAGAGAGAGCAACACAAATCTACAAGGACGTGTAGGATGTTTCACAGACTATGCAAAAATATTTTATAAAGTACAGCACAATGATAGATCTGAACTGCTACGAAAACCTTATTTATGTGTGAAATACATTAAATAATCGAGAATATATACTACAAGTAAAACGCCTGCATACGGACAGAAAATTAATAAGTAACCAAAATTAAAACGGATCATAAGTTCATGATGCGTCTTCGCACTGGACGTATTTAAATTGTACAGCAAAGAGGAAAATCAGAAGGTTTACCAGAATTAATTATTGGTGGATATTAAATTATAATATATGCAGATAACACCGTGTTGGCGGTAGAGACAGAAAAAAAACTGTAGGAAGCAACCTGGGTATGACGAGAAACTACATCTGGCAGCAAGGTTCAGGGGGTTTTGAGAAGCCTAGAACGATCTTTTAATTGCTTTTGTTCCCATGTCCACACTGACACAGGGTGGTAGCGCCTGTTAAGCGTCCTAGCTATGAGCAAATAGTGAACATCTTAACTGGGGTCAAAACATTCAAATATAAAAATACACTAGAAAAATTAACAGTAATACATTTTCTTAGTAATAAAAAATTCCCAGAAATACATTTTTTGGTGAGAGTGGGTCGGAGGAAAACGCTCACAAGAAAATTAAATTTGGGCATTAAATGACCCATAAGCAGTTAATATGCTGTTAAACAAACCAATCCACTGCAAAGTGCATAGCGTTGTGTTGAGTTATGCTTGCAGACGTCCTAGAGAAACACAGAATATAGAAGAAAAATACGAATTTACCAGCCAATAATTTTTGCTATTTCCAAGCATTCTTTTATCTTCTGAAAGCCATGGAATTGTTACACATTTTTTCAGTCTTTCAAATCAGTCTTATGCCATATTTTAATGCTTAAAACTCCCATTTTGTTATTACTTTCTGATTTTCAAATGCAGTCATTTTATAAAAATGTCTGCCATTTGTTTTTATCTGCGCAGAATGAAACAACTCCCACCGTTAGAGCGCATATAGGTGTTTCCCTTTTTCAGCAAATAAACCTTTAGATTTCATTAAATATACATTTTAGATATCGATAAGTCATTAAATCGCTAATAATAGTATATATTCTAAGCAGAGATATCTTGTAGGCTACTATTTATCGAGATGATACAGATATGCCTGTATTTATTAGCAGCCTAACGCCATAACACTTTAATACTAAATGAAAAAAAAAGACGGGAATTTATGTGCGATCTTGTACTTTTAGACAAGGACACATATGAAGATGGATGAATAATCCATTACCTAACGCGAATTTCTTAGCTGAATTATAATCTGAAAAGTTCATAGCAGAGTTTACAAATTTAGGATTGGTTGACAAAAAGATTACGTTGATTTAAATTTCGCTTTGATTTACATTATCCGCAATATTTTCTTCGATTATATGTATATCTACCTGATGGGACATCTGCAGTCGGTGGCATTAAGAAATTTAAAATTTTAACAGAATTATTTATTTAAAATATTTGTTTGTGCCTATTTTTGCTGCATTTTAAAATAATCAAGAAATATTCATTTTCAGCTCACTGTATATACATTTCTCTAACTTTAGATTGAAATAATCCTATTATAATTGGGCTTGTCCCGCTTTTCGTTAGCTCTCACGACCGTTACGCCCTGACTGTATTTCATAAAGAAAGGACTATTCTATTTTGATTGCGTGAATACACTACTTGGTTTCAGTGAGAAAACGAATAAAAGAAAGAAGAAGGAAAGAAAGAAAAAAACAAAGAATAAATAAAAGAATGGAAGAAAGAAAAAGAAAGAAGGGACCATAGAAATGTTTAACGGCTGTTTCAGTGACATAGAAAATATTTTCACGGGTCTTTCTAGTCTGTATAATCGTTTCAAAATATTTTTTTATTTTTTCTGACAATAGTTTTAATGGCAGGTTTGGCAAACAAATCAAAGTCTTTTACTAAAATATAGAGTAAGATTACTAATAGTTGCAATCGTCGTAGCGGTTATTCTTCAAAGACCATTTCGATATACTTCTATAAATAGTGTACAACCTTTGTGAGCTTTATAATTTTGACCCTGGATGAAAAGAACAAGCAAAAAATAGAACTTTTGTGTGAGGTAGCAATTTTTCATGACCACAAATGTTAGGGTAGTACATTGCATCTATCTATCTATCTATCTATCTATCTATCTATCTATGTCTTTTCATCTATCTATCTATCTATCTATCTATCTATCTATCTATCTATCTATCTATCTATGTCTTTTCATCTATCTATCTATCTATCTATCTATCTGTCTATCTATGTCTTTTCATCTATCTATCTATCTATCTATCTATCTATGTCTTTTCATCTATCTATCTATCTATCTATGTCTTTTCATCTATCTATCTATCTATCTATCTATCTATCTATCTATCTATGTCTTTTCATCTATCTATCTATCTATCTATCTATCTATCTTCGTCTTTTCATTACTATCTTCGTCTTTTCTTTCTTTCTATCTATCTTCGTCTTTTCGTTTCTATCTATCTATCTATTTATCTATCTATCTATCTAGATTAATAGGTAGATTCGTCTTTTCTTTCTATCTTCGTCTTTTCATTTCTATCTTCATCTGTTCATTTATATCTATCTATCTATCTATCTATCTATCTATCTATCTATCTATCTATCTCAGTGTGTTTATATCTATCTATCTAATTTTGTACATATGTAGCTACCTATTTGATACATAATTTATTAGATAGATTACTTTTCCATTACCATCATTTCTTTTATAAAACATTTGCATCAGTGCGTAAGAGAAAGCGTTTTAGTCCATTAAAAAGTGTAGTAACTTTTCAAGGGTGAAACACAATTACACAATTTATGACTTTATGCGTTAAAGGTGCCCAAATATGTCGTAATAGATTTATGACAAGAATATTTTTAAGTTCACTTCTTACAGGCTTTCGCAGATTAGGTTTGTTACACTCTGCCTCTGTATCCATTTATTAAATACCCTGATCACATACACTGACACACCAGCACCTTTTTAGTTTAGATATTTTAAAATTTATTTTACGCCGATGTCAGAATACAGCTATGTCTCCTCCTTTGATCGATAAATTAAGAAGAAAAGAAAACACAAAAACAAAATGAACGATTTTTCTAAAACGAAATAAAATAAGATTTAAAAAAAAATAAAAGATGCTGAGTGACAAACAGTTACGTGCTGTTTTGTTACCTTTGCTTGCCACGTTTTAACAGAAGCCTCCAAGAAAATGTCGAATTTATTCATTTAGTTTTGTTTTTTGTCTTTTTTTTTTGGCAGAGAAGAGTTGTTTTGTTTTATTTTTAATTCATTTATTTCTTCACGTGGTTCATTTTTTTTTTTTTTTTTTGAAAGAGGTTCTAATTTTTTCTCTCCTTTTTCATCTTCTTCGTCTTCTGTGCAGTAAATTTTCTCCTTTTCTTCACTTTTTTTTCCTCTATTGATTTCTTGCAATGGTAGTACCACGCGGCTTCGTCGTTGTTCAGAAAGAGGACTCGATTCATTCCTACCATTTTTTTCTTTTGAAAACACGACACAAAGGTCGGTTAAAAAAGTATTTAAGTTCATTCCTGCTTCTTTTATTAATTTATTTGTTTATTTCTTTTGGTATGAAAGTTGTCAGTTCTTTTACGCTATTTAAACGCACGACAACCAAATTGAAATATGTGAACCCAAGTGGCTTTGCGCCATTTTAAGGCACTTGCAGCATCCATACCTTTGTGGACAAGAATACAAAGCAAGGAATCGTAATTCTGCAGAAGTTCCACTTTTTTTTCCGTCAAATAATATTTCTTTATTTCTTTTTTTTTTTTTTTTTTTGCGGGGAGTTGGTTGTAGGCGGGGTGCAAAATCGGAGGAGAGGGATAATGTCTGTAGACAAACATGGAATTATTCGATGGAAGACAGAGACAGAATTCTATGCTTTCCAAAATCTTCATATAGACTCAGAAGATTTAATAAGAAACGAATTGCTTCCAGAACGCCATATGTAAATTGGATGCGAAATTGTACGGATTGTTGACGGATTCCCAAATTTTTTTGATATTTAAAAAATAATCAGAAAAGAAGAGAGTAATAGTTACGAATTTTGGCCCTGTATGAAAAACTCTTGTTTGGAAAAGGCTCAGTGAAGAGTGAGCTGTTCTCAGAAGACATCGATCGGGAATTCTATATTCATTAAATGACTAGCGATTGAGGGCCTGTTCCAACCGATTCTAGTTAAAAAAAAAAAACATTTCGAGCAAAAGCAAGATGCATATATACGTACTGATCTCAGTCTATTCATATCTAACTATTGTGAAGAAGAGAGAGAAAAAATGACATAGATAGATCTATCTATCTATCTATCTATCTATCTATCTATCTATCTATCTATCCCAGTCTGTTCATATCTATCGATCTATCTAAGTCTGTTCATATCTATCTATTTATCTAATTTCAGTCTATTCATATGTAACTACTTAGAGAGAGAGAGAGAGAGAGAGAAAGAAAGAAAGAGAGAGAGAAAGTGAAGGATAGATACATTAATAAATCCGTAGCCTTATCATGAGAAAAAAAAAAAACTTTATTTTATGTATAATAATATTTACCAACAAGAATTAATTGAAAATATACTTTTGCTAATCATCCTCGCGAGAGACAAATATGTATACACAGAGTTTAACAGTGCATGCCCCCCCATATATATATATTAATATCATTTCATTTAAGGACGTTTGCGAACATGTCTTTACTGATTTACTATGAATTGACAAGACTCTTAGGGAAATATACAGGGTGATTGAAAAGTAACTCTCCATTTTAAATTACTTATAATTTATTTATTAACTATAATCTTTGCAAGAAATGAATATGAGAGGAAAGTATTAGCATGAGGTTTTATTTAAAATTTGATATAGGCACCAGATTTCGTTACCAGCTTCTCGAGCCGCCCAGGAATTATGTCAACTAATTTCACCAATAACTCTTGTCCTATAGAAAACATAACATCTTGTGCTTGCCCTTCAAGTTCTTTGAGAGTCTGGGTTCGATATAGTAGATATACTCCTTTAATGAACCACAAAGAAAAAAAAAATCAATTTTTTAAGTCAAGTTTCCTGGCTGACCACTCAACGGTTTTAAATTCGGGATTATCCTTCACTAGAAAGTCTACGCTACACTTTCATTTAATCCATAGGTAGGGAGAGAATAAACAATTTAATGTCTTTCCACAAATTGTTTTTGTGAAAGAGAATACAACAAACTATCCCGGAATTTGAACTCGGCTTGCCAAGTCTACACTCAGCACGAATATTCGCGACACTACGCACATGTTCTCACACACACACACACACACACACACACACACACACACACACACACACACACACACACACACACACACACACACATATATATATATATATATATATATATATATATATATATATATATATAATTATAATTATAATATATCGCACATATAGTGCTAGTGTGAATAAAATAGTGCTCGATGTAATACAACAGAGCTATTAAGTATATATTAATAGATACGTATATTACCCCTCACCGGTTGTTAAGGGATAATATATATATATATATATATATATATATATATATATATATATATATATATATATAGATAGATAGATAGATAGATAGATCGATCCAGGGAGAGCTCCATGTCAAAAGACAGAGCAATATTATTATTAATTAAACACTTAAAATCCCATAGGTAATAATTTTTATTTGATGAGAGCTCTAAAAACACTTCTATACTGACAAAGCAATCACTGATGTGATTGTAGGTCTTGAAGATGGAGAGCTGCTATTTTAGAGCTCTCATGAAATAAAATTATTACCTATGGGATTTTAAGTGTTTGATATTCTTTAATAAATAATAATAATATATATATATATATATATATATATATATATATATATATATATATATGCATGTTGAAATCGCTACACAATAGTTTTCGTGTTTCAGTACTACGTTGTACTTCTTCAGGCAAATGTGAGATATAGAGAATCAGTTTCTCTTATTCTCTCTCCCTGTCTCATTCTCTCGACCTTTCTCTCTTCCTCTCTCACTCGCTCTTGAGAGAGAAGTAGAAAGAAACAGAGCCAATGACAAAAATAGTAGATAGACAAAGAGACATAGAGAGAGAAAGATCGAGAGAGAGAGAGAGAGATAGAGAGAGAGAGAGGAAGGGAGAAAGGCTTGGTATCTACTATTTTTTTTCCAAAGCACAAATACACGAAGACACGAAATCTGAAACACCCACATAAACCCAATCTAAAAAAGAAGCACTTACATTAAGTTTCAGTAGGAACATAACAGCTATGTTGCTTTTTTTTAAGCATTACGCCCCAAGCAAGGCGTGAAGCCACTAGGATGCAGGGGGTTGCAGTAGATTTGGAGCGATTGCAGATAGGAGTGATAGAAGAAATGATGTGGAGAGGGATAGTGGATAGATCAAGGTAACTGGAGATGTCAATTGACATTACATTTGAATAGTTGGAGATTATAGCTCTCAGGCAAACAGTAATAGGGAAGGGTGTTCCACAGGCGAGAGGTGCGAGGTATGAAGCTATTGGAGTAGAAAAGACGGCTACATTTTAAAGTTTCTACAGTGAAAGGGTGAGAACGGGGTACCAGCCTCGTAGGGGGCTTGAATTCATGGAGTCTGGGAACCAGTGAAAGCAGCTCATCGGAGCAATTATCATGAAAGTATTTGTAAAAAAGACAGAGAGAGGCGACGGCGCGTCTGTGAGAGAGCAACTGTGGACGAGATGCCAGATCAGGGCCAGTTATATTACATATTCGCCTCTGGATCTTGTCAAGAACTCCGAGGCAAACAGAAGGTGCACCAGACCATATATGGCAGCAATACGCCATGCAAGGGCGAATGGTTGATTTGTATATTTGAAGTATCGATTCCGGGGAGAAAAATTTCCTGGCGCGGCACAGAGAGCCAACTTTTCTCGCGGTGGACGAAGCAATTGATTCAATGTATTTGTTCCATCTCAGGTCAGCAGTCAACGTGAGACCGAGCAGACGCAGATAATTGCTCTCAAGAAGTTGACTATCAGACATTCTAATGGTGTGGGGGGGGGCAGGGAAGGATCTCTATGGTGATTAATAGAGAGTAGTTTAGTTTTTGAGGCGTTAAAATTGACCAGCCAATTCTTGCCCCATTTAACAACCGATTGGAGGCCATTTCAAGACGAGCGGTCAGGTTAGTTTTGTCAGCGACACTAGATTTGTTTTTGAGGCAGGAATAAATTGTAGTATCGTCCGCGGAGATGCCAACTTTGGAATCTATGGCGTCAGGAAGGTCATTTATGTAGATAAGGAATAGAGTGGGGCCTAGGATGTAGCCCTGAGGAACACCTGCGTTCGTGGGATAGGAACTGGAGGAGAATCCGTTTAGAATGACCTTCAATTCACGGTTTGACAGGAATTATTGTATTAGGTCAAAGAATCGACCTGTAATGCCATAACCCTGGAGCTTGCGAAGAAGGCCGGCATGCTAAACCCTATCAAACGCTTTGGAGATGTCTAGGGCCACGGCACGAGCCTCACCGTTATTACATAAACATATGAATTAGCTGCGAAAGAGAGATTTCCATAACTGCATACTCAAACACATCTTTTCTACTATCATGCCATACCACTGGCGATGATAATAACAGAGAAGAGAAAACAGTGAATACATGCGTTCCGTAACAAATCTTGTAATAAAAGTCCTGCTGAACGGTGGATCTTCTAGATCCTTTTACATTAATGCGGGTATCCTCTAGAGTTATACTCATTGACATACGCTGTTTCTTATCTTCATCAACGAGATTCTCGTTGATGAAGATAGATTCCCAGCTTGGTATTTATTTACACCTGTCTTAACAGTAAGCCTGACAGACCCGATAAAGCAAAACTGGCAGCTGACCTCGCAAACAACCTCCAATCAATTGTTAACTGGGACAAGAAATGGCTTGTAGACTTTAACGCAGCCAAAAACGAAACTCCCATCTTTTCGATATCAGAGAGAAACATTATTGTTTTGCCTTTAATCAACATGACTGACCTACAGGAGAGCAACTCATTATGCCTTCCCGGTCTTCCACAGGCATGAAGTGGACTGATTATATTGAATCAGTTGATAGGGCTACAGCTGGGAAAAATTGATTCAGTGTATTGCGCCAGACAATTTTTCTCATCAGGATCTATCTTGCACATTTATAAATCTATCATTCGACATGTATTGAATATTGTTGCCATATCTGGTTGGGTGTTCTTGCTATATATCTCGGGATACTTGATAAATTCCAAAGAATCGGCTTTCATTCTTCGTATATCGACCGGATGAATTTGAGCCTACTACTATATTGATAAGTAAGTCTCATCGTCTTACTGTTGAAAGAACCGTAAGTTCTATTCTAATAGTTTCTTTTCTAGCACTTCTCGCCTCTGAAACTATTTTAATATACAGACTGTACGAAACAACCAAAAAAAAAAAAAAATGGCCGCACCCATAGAAAGTGGATTTTTGTAGTTTTCCCAAGACAAGTGAGCAATTGAATTCGTTTATTATTACGGGATATTAATACTGGTGTACATATGTACATTATACAAGTCAAAAATTATTTAGTAACGATAACGATCCTAAGCATATTACCTTAAAGAATAAACCTTATCTAGAGAGGAAGCGTGACGAGGATTAATTGCAACCCTTCCATTGGCCTAGACAGAGACCTGACCTTAACCCAAGTGAAAACATTTGGGTGATAATGGACAAGTGTGCCCGTAATAGGAAAGTTAACACAGAAGATGAGCTTTTTCGTGAATTAAAGAAATACTGGAAAAATCTGGCGAATGACGTTGACTTACTGAAGAATTTAGTCTATATACTGTCAGAAAGAATTAAGGCAATTATTAAATCAAAACACAAAATCATTTTTTAACCTGTATAATGTATATATGTACATCTGTATTAATACCATGTATTAATAGATGAATTCTATTACTCACTCGTCTTCGTAAAAATACAAAAAAACGACTATCTATGGGTGCGTCCATTTTTTTTTTTTTTTTGTGCCTCGTACTGTATATAAATTATGGAAATTTCTAGCTTGCTCCTACAAAACGGAAAACCGTAAGGATGCTGGAAAAACTAAATATATAATTAATTAAATCTTCCTTGACTGCCACATTTAATTATATATATATATATATATATATATATATATATATATATATATATATATATATATATATATATATAAATGATTTTCTATTTCTTTTAATCCTCTCAAATTCATGGACCAATTTCTTAGTGTTATTAGAGCGATTAAAAAAGGCACTGTAGTTTTGGTGACTTCTTTTATTTCCTCAAGTATTTTAAATATCATACAAGATAAACTTTAGGGGTAAATTGCTAAGACAAAAAAATT